CAAAATCATGACCTTGAGGCCATCAGATGCGATTTTGGTTCCTTGAGTTCTTGTGACTAATGTTTTTCCAATATGTCTTATATTGAACATAGATGGTGCTTTCACATCATACCAGTCTTTCTTAGAAAATGTATCAACCACTTTCTTCTTGGCTCCCTTATTGCCACCTTTCATAAAGCGCTTTTTCTTGCCGACTGCCATGGTGCTGCTAAGGGAGCCCAAAGGGCTAAACATGGCACTTCTGAATAACCCATCGGTCAAAGAAGAAATCACAAGGTATATTAGAAAATATTTCTAACCAAATGATAATGAGAACACAATATATCCACGTTTGTGGATGCAGCTAAAGTGATGCTTACAGGGAAATTTATTATAGCATAAATATTTTATCTTGAAAAGAATTTTTAAAAACCAGTAATTAAATTTCCACAGTATGAAGCTAGATAAAGAAGAGCAAATTATACCCAAAGAAAGTAGAAGAAAATAAATTACAAAGGTAAGAGCAGAAATCAATAAAATAGAAAATAGACAATTAGAAAAAATTAACAAAGCCAAAATTGATTATCTGAAAGGATTATTAAAAGTTATAAACCGGGCGCCTGGGTGGCTCAGTTGGTTAAGCGACTGCCTTCGGCTCAGGTCATGATTCTGGAGTCCCAGGATCGAGTCCCGCATCAGGCTCCCTGCTCAGCAGGGGTCTGCTTCTCCCTCTGACCCTCCCCCCTCTCATGCTCTCTCTCTCTCATTCTCTCTCTCTCAAATAAATAGATAAAATCTTTAAAAAAAAATAAAAATAAAAGTTATAAACCTCTAGAAAAATTCACAAAGAATAGAGAAAATATAAATCACCAGTACCAGCAATGAAAAGCAACATCACTACAGTTTCTAAAAGATTAATAAGTCACTATCAAGGACAAATTTAGGATATCAAATAATTATGTTTTATACCTGGAACTAATATGTTATATGTCAATTATACCTCAGTTTTTAAATATTTTTAATTAAAAAGTACAAATTTAGGCTAATAAATTTGACAATTTAAGTGGACTGATTTCCTTAAAAAAACTCAACCTATAAAAATGACAAAAGATGAAATAGAAAATTTGAATAGTCTTGTATCTCTTGTATAAATTAAATTCTATCAAATATTCAGAGGAAAACATAAATCTTTCAAAAACAGAGCAGGAAACACTTCTCAAATTGTTTTTTATGAGAACAACATGGCCCTGATACCAAAATCTGACAAAGACATTACAAGGAAAGGAAAAGGAAGGAAAGGAAAGAAAAAAAGCATGGAAACAAGAAAGGAAAATTAAAGACCAATATCCTTTATGAACATAGACACAAAAATCCTTATAAATTGAATCCAGCAAATGGAATTAATCCTGGGAATGCAAGGTTGGCATATTTACCACATTATCACAGGAATACAAGGTTGAGTGTAATTCACCACATTGCCAGAACAAGGGAGAAAAATCATATGATCATCCCAATAGATGAAGAAAAAGCATTTGACAAAATTCAGCATTCATTCATGATAACAATTCTTAGCAAACAAAGAAGAGAAGGAACTTCCTCAATCTGAGAAAGGCATCTACTAAACATGTTCATCTTGGTGGTGAAATAATAAATGCTTTCCCCTCTGAGATTGGAAAGGGAGCAAGAATGTTTGATCTCACTGTTCCTATTCAGCCTTGTTTTGGAGGTTTTAGCCCATGCAATAAGGCCAAAAAAAGACATAAGGATTAGAAATAGTAAAACTGGGGTGCCTGGGTGGCTCAGTAGGTTATGCTGCCTTCGACTCAGGTCATGATCCCAGGGTCCTGGGATCAAGCCCCACATCAGGCTCCCTGCTCAGTGGGGAGCCTGCTTCTCCCTCTGCCTGCCATGCCCCCTGCTTGTGTGCGCTCTCTCTCTCTCTCTCTGTCAAATAAATAAATTTTTTTAAAAAAGAGAGTAAAATTGTCTTTGTTCACAGATTGTATTAATGTTTCATAGGAATCTACATTAACAAGGAATCTACTTTTTAAAAAGCCTACTAGAGCTAATAAGTAAATTTAGAAAGGCCAATATGCAAAAATCAGTTGTATTACTATATAATAGCAGGAAACAGTTGGAAATTGAAGTTTAAAAAAATTCCATTTCCAATAGCAGTCAAAACATAAAAGAGTTAAGAATAAATTTAACAAGATATGCAAGACCTTTACAGTGAAAAACACAAAATGTTGCTGAGAAAAATAACTAAGTTGATGAAAAGATACAATACATTCATGATTGGAAAACTCAATATTGTTAAGGTGGCAATTTCTCCCCAAAATAACCTGTTGATTCAGTACAGTGTTGATCAAAATATCAATTGACTTTTTTTTTAGATTTTATTATTTATTTATTTGTCAGAGAGAGAGAGCAAGAGTGTGAACACAAGCAGGGAAGCAGCAGGAACAAGGAGAAGCAGGCTTCCCGCTGAGCAAGGAGCCCGATGTGGGACTCAATCCCAGGACCCCGGGATCATGACCTGAGTCCAAGGCAGACAATGAATTGACTGAGCCACCCAGGTGTCCCTCAGTTGACTTTTACAGAAAACATAAGTTGATTCTGAAATGTATATGGAAATGCAAAGTCCTAGTCTGCTCAAAGTAATTTGAAAAAGAAGAAAGTTTGAGCACTTAAACGTTATCTGATTTCAAGACTTAAAGATAACTTATAGTAATCAAAATAGTGTGGTATTTTTGTAAAGATAGATATATATATACCAATGGAACAGAATAGAAAGCTCAGAAATAGATCCACATATACAAGGTCAATTAATTTTCAACAGAAGTCTAAGGATATAGAAACAGATCAATGGAATAAAATGAAGGGGACAGATCTACCTATATATAGGCCATTAATTTTAGGCAAAGACACCAAGGCAGTTCAATTAGAAAAGGAAAGTCTTTTAATTAATGGTGCTGGAATGCCTGAATAAACATACTGATAAAAATGAACCTCCACCCCTACCTCATACCAAGCCCAAAAAAGTTAATTCAGGATGGATCATAGATCTCCACTCAGAGCTAAAATTACTAAGCTTTAAGAAGAAAACATCAGAAAGTACCTTTGTAACAGTGAGGTAGGCAAAGATTTCTTCGACACAAAAATCACTAAACATAAAAGAAACAAGTAATAAAACTGGATTTCACCAAAAATAAAACTTCTACTCATTGAAAGACACAAGTAAGAAAATGGAAAGACAAACTACAGCCTGGGAGAAAATATTCACAATACATATATCTCACAAAGGACTCCTACAAAAATACATAGTAAAGTACAGTTGACCCTTGAACAACATGGGTTTGAACTGCATGGGATTTTTTTCAATAAATATATGTACAGAGGTGTAAATATATTTTCTCTTCCTTCAGATTTTCTTAACATTTTCTTTAGCTTACTTTATTGTAAGAATACAGTATGTAATACATATATAAAATATGTATAAATTGTGTTGTCAGTAAAGCTTCTGGTCTCTCTATATGTATATATATGAGAAAAGTGCTAGCATCATTTGTTATCAGGGAAATGCAAATTAAAATCATTGTCGGACACGATTTTATATGCACTAGAATAGCTAAAATTAAAAGGGCTGACAAAGGCAAGTGTTGAAAAGGGTATGGAGCAACTAGAACTCTCTTACATTGTTGGTAGGAATGTAAAATAGTGCAATCACTTTGGAAATCTGGCAACTTCTTGTAAAATTATACATACCTCTGCCCTATGACCCAGCAATTCTACTCCTAATAATTGCCCAAGAGAAATGAAAATATGTCCCAAAAACACTTGTATAAGAATGTTTATAACAACCTATTCATAATACTAAAAAGCTGGAAGCAATCCAAATATCCAACAAAATAACCAAAAGAAAGAATAACCAAATTGTGGCATAGTCTATGGTCACAAAAATCAGAGCAATAGTTGCCTAGGGGAGGTAAGAATTGTCTGGAAGGAAAGAGAAGGAAAGTTTCTGGAGCAATAGAAATGTTACATATCCTAATTGGGGGTATTGGTTGCCCTAGCATAATGGTTACATAAGTATATACATTTGTCAAAACTCATTGAATTGTATACTTAAAATAAATTTCACTGTAGGTAAAATCTTACATCCAAAAAAGAAAGAAGGAACTTGTATAGTTAAAAGAGAAATGGTTATTTCTATGGACAGTACTATATATATTACATATATATTTGATTATATATATGACATAAAATTGAATGCATGTTTTTTTTCAACACGCATCTACTGTGCATCTACTATGGGTCAGCCATTGTGATAGTTGCTGGGGTATAAAGATAATTAAGAGAAAGTGGTTGGACTCAGAGAACTCAGCATCTAGCAGAAGCCATAAAAGCACAGGAGATAAGTACCAATGCAAAAATGGATGCTAAGTGCAAAGGAGGGCTGAGGAAGTGATTCTGACTTGTTAGGGTTGAGAGATGGGACCAAAGAGCGAATAAACTCGTAAGGGAAGAAAGGATTTGGGTCAAGAGAACCTCATGAACTAAGTAAGGCACAGAAACATGTGCCTGTAATGACGTGTTTGTAGAATCTTAATTGGCCCAAAGTGACTACAGTAACAGGAGAGGGTACCATGATGGGAGACAGTGTACTTTAATAATGGGACCAGATCATACAGGGTCGTAAAATGCCGTACTACACAGGCAGATTTATAGGCACTAAGGGGCCACTGGAGGCTTTTAGACAAGAATGACATCAATTCTGTTTCTTTGTTTTTAAAAAAATGTATCTGCTAGTAGTAAAGAAGAATTATTAAAATTGGGGAGAGACTAGAGGCAGAAGGAAGAGATAGAAAGGGATTTCAAGAATCCAGGGTCATTTATTTAAAATTCTTACCCACTAGAATTTTGTGATTAAATATTTTTATTTAATATTTAATAATTTTTATTTATTATATTAAATATTTAATATTTACTTCTTTTTTCTTTTTCTTTAAAATTAACCATAGGAATCCAGAAACATTTTGGACCACAACAGGAATGTTTCCCCAAGAGTTCATTATTTGTTTTCACAAACATGTAAGGATTGAAAGGCTTGTAATCCAAAGTTACTTTGGTAAGCAAATAATACATTAATATTCATCATCTTTTAATTTTCCCATAGGCAGAGGGCACATGTAAACTTTGGCAAAACACTAACTTTTCTTTGCAGCATGGAACCCAGTTTTATGGCTGGGGTGGGAAAGTGGGGAATATGGGTTAACTGCCTTGAGCACAGTTAGCTTCTCTAAAATTGCAAATTTGAAACCCTTCCAAAGCGCATAATAATTTCCATGCAATTTACTATGTGAAAATCTTTGGCAAAAAACCCTATTATGAACATAAGAAGCCAGCTTGCCAGAACACTAGGTTCTTCAACATCTTTATTCCAGATTAATTTGGCTTGGGGTTCTCTGTCAAATTCTTTCTGAAAATCTGATAACTTTGATTATTTGCATTGGATAATTTTTATTCTTCTATTAATAATGGCATTTTCTGAGGGATTTAGGAGGGGACTCTCTCTTTGGAACATCATTCTAATCCTGTCTTGTGTTTATTTAAGGATAAAGTATTTCAGATAAAATCATGGCAGGAAAGAATACATCCCAGATGGTTCAAATGAAAAGGCTTTATTGATGGGATTACTTACAAAGTTATGGTCTGGGTAAGGGAACAAACCAGGGATGGTGAGAACGCCCTGAAACTAGCCACAGCAATGAGCCATTACCACCCCTGGGATAAGGGATGGAAATTGTGTTACCAGAGCCTAGTGAGAGCTAGAGTCTGTGCTGCCCGGCAGCAGCTGTAATCATGAAGGGACCCAACCACTGTCAAAGACAGGGCACAGAAGCAGGAAGGGCGTGGAGAAAAAACAACGTGATCTCATTTCGCCACTGCCCTCCAGTTTCCTCCCAGTGCCTCCCATTGGCCAAATCCGACCAGAAGCCATGGTGCAATCCAAAGGGGTCCTCCCCGCAGGACACAGAACAGAGAAGAATGGTTCTGCGATAGCAGGATCTGGGTTAGGGGTAATGGAGAGAAAACAATGCAGAAAGAAGATGCGTGCATTCTGGTTAAGTCTCTCTACTGTCATTAATTGTAGAGGCTCTGGAGTCAGACCCACCTAAAGTTTGAATTCCACTTCTGGCCCTTACTACCTCTGTATCATTGAACACTTTGCCTGACTTTTCTAAGGTGCTGATTTCTCGAAGCCTGTTTCCTCATCAGTAAAGTGGATCAGTAATACTTTTTCTTATAAGATTATAGTCAAGAGTGAATGAGTAAATATGCCTGACTCACAGTAGTTTCTTCATAAGGGTTTATGACCAAGATCAAGATCACTAACAGTATTATTATTATTATTATTATTATTATTATTATTACTATTACCAGTACACAAAAAACTCTGGATGATACCAAATTCAAAAAGACTCTACTTTGTATTATGTGCTTTGCCAACATTTATAAGATTACAGTGACACAAGACTGTATTTTACCATAGGGCCCTACAGAAAAACAGTATGTGAATGATTTTCAGAACCTGTATTTCTGATCCCAGTACTTTGTACAGTCCCACCAGTGCTTGACACTTTCAGACAGAGAAAAAAAAGGAATATAGGGACAGCAACATAAAATCAGGTAGGTAATTAACACTTTATTTATTTTGTTTACTTACAATGTCAGTGAGGACCTTGAGGATTGAAAAGAGCACATCTAAAGAGCCAATTGATTTTGAGCCATGGATTGAAAGAGGTATGTGCTTTTTCACCAGCATTGTTCTGGGCATGAGAGAGTAGAGAATTGTCCCTGATTCTATATTTCCAATTGGGCTGCATTTTGGTGAAAAAAAGATGACTCCTGTGACTCTATTTAGAGCCTAGAAAAACCTAGGTTTCAACACAAGACTGTTTCTTCACTTGCTGGTTATGTAATGTTAGCATGTTAAGACTTAATTTTTCTGAGTTTCAGTATCCTTATCTGAAAAATGGGGACAGTAACCTACCATTTAAGGTTTTTGTGAACATAGTATCTACCATATTATATGGTAGACAATAAATACTAGTTTCTTGTCTTTCCTTCTTTCCTAATGGTACTATTTAAATATCATCAGTAGAATTGCCTCTAGTTAAACACAACATGTTGCTTTCATGTGTCTATTTCCTTTCCTTCCCAAAATACCCTGAAATAATAATAAAGGAATAGAAGGAGGCATAAACCTACAAGGACAAAAACTAAAAACAAACAGAAAACAGAAGACCAAAGAGGATGTGAGGGGTTAATCTATATTATGGAAGAGAGGACACAGATGGAAGAGAAGTAACTAATGTAACTGAATGGAGTAGGTTATAACCTAAGTGCCCTCCAAGGAGAATATCATTGTAAAGCAAGCCAGTTTGCCCAACAAAACCCCAGGAAGGTCTAGAATTTGAAGGCAGAAGGCACCATGGAAAGTTCCAGTGAGACATGGACCAGAAAACAAGGGTGATTAGTTGAACATCTATATACAGAGTGTTTGACCCTAGAGTAAGTTCTCCTGTCCCACAAAGCTATATGACTCCTCCTTCCTCCCACAAACCACCTGCAAGGGATAACGAGGGACACTGAATGTTGAGGTCAGAACTCAGGGAGACCAGACATAGTAGAGAAAGTAAGTGAGATGTGGAGTTGAAAACGGGATTTAAGTGGAAGCCTACTTATTGAATGGTGAGAACTCCTCTGTGCTCTACTGTTTATGACCGTAATCAAGAATATAGCCCCAGCCAGGAGACTAAATATTTTTGGAGAAACCAAATGGCTCCAGAAAAAAGATCTATGGATACTGACAAAGGCTAGCTCATTCTTGGTCACTCTATTGAAGTCCTAGTCAGTGAGCCTGGTTCATGAACACAGTTTTAAAATGATTTATTTATAAGTAACAAAAGATAGCCAAAGATCACCAGACATTTCATGAATGCCTCAAACCCTGAATATAATCAAGCCTTTAGCTCTAATTCCAGTATAAGGAAACAGAGGATAGAGGAATAAACGTAATGAAACCATGAAGAGGCAAGATAACAAAATGTGGGACATTCTACAGGAAAACTGACCTGGTCTCTTCAATAAGTCAGTGACATGGGAAAAAAATGTGTGTTGGGGAGAGAAAGCAGTTCAATATTAAAGGAGACTTAATTCTGATTTGAATAAACCAACTATAAAAAGACATTTTGGGGACAATTGGGAATTTGAATGTGGACTAGGTATTATATGATATTAAAGCATTTTTTAATATTGGTATGATAATAGTATTATGGTTATGTAAGAAAATATCCTTATTATTGAGAGATGGCTAATCAAATTTTTGGAGGTGAAATGTCATGTTGTCTTAGATTTTCTTTAGAATACTTTAACAAGGGGCACCTGGGTGGGTCAGTCGGTTAAACATCTGCCTTCGGCTCAGGTCATGATCCCAGAGTCCTGGGATCGAACCCTGTGTCAGGCTCCCTACTTAGCAGGGAGTTTGCTTCTCCCTCTCCCTCTGCTCCTCCCCCCACTGCTCGGGCTCTCTCGCGCGTGCGCTCTCTCTCTCTCAAATAAATAAATAAAAACTTTTAAAAAATAAAATACTTTAGCAAAAAAGATTCCATAAATCAAGTATAGTGAAATGTTAGTAATGATAAAATCAAGATGATGGGTATATACAGAAATTATGTTGTGTCTTCTTTGATGTGAAATTTTCCAATTTTTCATAATTAAAAAACTAAGCAATGAAAGAAGAGGTTATTATTAACTCCTGGTAGAGGAGGAGTTGTATAAGAAAGAAAATGGGATCATAATTCGATACTTATTTCAGCAGTAAATAACATTTACATAGGCAATAATGTAACTGTCAAGTATTGATTTCAAAATTGAGAGGATGGCAAGAGGGAAAAGTTGTAGGAGGAGGAAGAGGATATTGATCTAAGAGACCTAATTTTCTCCTACCATAATATAAAGTCAGTAAAACATTGATAAATCGAGAAAAGGAATATAAACATGTTACAATTCTAGGGGAAAAAAAGCTGAAGGAGTTGAAAATATTTGCCTCTCAGGAGCAGGACTGAAGGTGAAAGAAAGGATCAAGCAGGGGATTACCATTCATTACCTCAGAGAGAGGTTAGGAAACAGAAAGTCATGCACCATCTTACTTCCCAGAGACTACCCTTTTTGTAGTATGTGCCTTTAAAAATTATGTGCACTCACTATTCTAATACAAATAAAATTAATTTCTAAATAATGTCAGTATTTATTATTATATCAATCAAATATTTCATGTTTCTAAAAGAATGTTTGATATGATTAACTCGTGACCAACTAAGTTAATCTGTTTTAAAATTATATAAGTAAAGGCTTTCTAAAGTTGGATAACAAAAAAGATCAATTCACAGGCAGCATAATTCAACATCACGGTAAAAAGTCCGCGTGAGAAACAGAGCTGTAGTCATTACCCATGAGAGTGGTAATAAGATGGCTCCTTTCAGGCCTGTAATAACTGTTCGTGGCTTGATCCTTAAGAGGGATTTCCACATTTTATCAATTCCTTACTTTATATTCCTTTACCCTGATTTACATTTCCTTTTGTTTATACTTGCTAGAGATGTTTTGGAGCTCACAGTTTATCTTTCATGCCTTTTACATCAAATATTCCTATTTTGATATTGAATTTTAACCTCAGACCCTGGTAAGTCTAATCTACCTATAGTTTACCAGACATCATGTTTTGCTGAGCATAAATTTCAGTAGCTGTCCTCATGTATTTTGAACCCTAACTCATTTCTGTTAAATTTGTGTTTTAGATCTAGTCCACACAGAGGGGCAGCTTCAAAATGAAGAAATTAGGGTAAGTTGACATACTTTGTAGAGATAAACATTATCTTTAGTCAGCACAACGTATTTGCATTTTATATGTATCTCCGTAGTCATAAAGTTAATATTCCTGTGATATGTTATAGGTTCTATACCTAATCAACAAACAGAGGTTATCCTCAATAATATTATAATCTAATAAAGCATGCATAAAGGCATTTATCTGTCATAGAATAACAGCAAGGATAAAGCAATTCACTTACTTGTCTTTATTTTGTTCATTTATTTTGAACATATACTTGCTTTGCTTTCATTCATTTGATTCTGTAGGCCTTTTAGAATAGGAATCAAAAAAGGTTGAGATGCCAGAATCGGATGTTAATTTAAGCATGAAAGGACAAGGGAGATTCACATAAGGGGAACTGGAGCATAGGATCAGCAACAAATAAGCCAAAGAGAGATGAGGTGGAAAGAGAACCAGCATTTTTCGACAACATTCCATTGGGCTTTGCTTGTCAAGTGGAATGAATGGCCGTTGATGAGGAAGCTGCTGCCTCATCAGGAGTTTCTCTGTTCCTGCTAGTTTATCAGGCCCTGGTTTTAGACAAACACAAAAAAGTGAAACAACTGAATGTGTGGGCTTTTTTTTTTTTTTTTTAAGGTGGTAGTGTTTGTTTCATTAAGGTTTTTCTAAATGAGGCTTAAAGAGGAACCTTGTCCATTTAAGTTTCCTTCTTCACAACTTACTGGGCACTGCCATGAAATCCATGCTTCAAAAGATTCTGTAGGAAGTTTTTGAATGCTATTAATTATCTTCCCCACCACCCAAATATGCCCAATGACTGGAGAGGCCAGTGGGGGCCAGAAAAATGATTAATTAGACTGAATTTTATCTGCCTGTTTTTCTCCATCTTTATTAATGGATTATGATTAGTAAGCCTCTGCTAAGTATTTTGTTTCAGGACTCACTGTGAATCAAGGAGCGTTCCAACATTATAGAACATTTGGAAAATAATAAGGGGGAGTGGGCAGCTGGAAGTCACCCATGATTTTATTACCCTGCCACAAGAGCTTTTATTACACTTATTTTCTTCTAGTTGTCAATGTGCATCACCTAGTTTAATAGTAAAAATGAAGAATTTTGTATCTTTTTAAACAATATTATATTACAACTTCATAATTATAATTTTAAAATGAAATGTATGAAGATAGGCAAATGTTCACTAATTTCACTTCTCCTCCCTCTGTCATTATAAGTAATACTACAGGGGACATCTTATGCATGTTCTCACTACCATGATCTTCACCTTTTAAATTACTCTCTAAGATTAAATTTCAAGGAATGGAATTACTGGGTCCATCAGTTTAGACATATTTATAGCTGCTTATGTATATTGCCAAATTGCTTTCCAGAGAAATTATATAAATGTAAAAGTATAATAATGTTTCAGGGTAGTATAGTCAGAGAAATCATCAAACAAAGGAAGTCTCCTAACATGAAAAATACTTTAGAAAGACACTTGTAAAAAATTAATCAGAAATGTAAAGTTGCAATTTTTAGTTCCACCTGCTATTTTTCATCAAACCAATGCTGATATTTGCCTGATGATACTTCAGAGCAGCAGTACTGTTATATGCAGCTGTCTTCTCTTCTGAATATTATATCTTATATATTATTGTATATTTAGGATATCATTTTTGCATCAAACCCTTTCTTCTGCTAACTGCTGTTTAACAAATTAACTAGAATTGCTAAAAGCTTCCATATTGATTTTTCCTTTGCAGACCCGAGATGGCCACGCCACTTATTTGAGATTCATTATTATATCAGCCTTTGATCATTTTGCATCTGTGCATAGTGTTTCTGCAGAGGGACTAGCAGTCTCAAATCTTTCTTAGTAATTATAACAAAATACTCTTGCATGGTTTTTTAACAATATATTTATTGAAACATGAAGTTGTCCTTGATGTGCCTTATTAAAGGGATTTGTATTAATCTGTTTCAGTTTTTAATTTCTCTTCAACATTTTGTGCAAAGGAGTTTGGTTCGTTAGTCAGGAGTGATGGCCACCATGTAGACTATAAGAAAGCTCTCACTTCAGTGTACAACTTAATGAAGGAAATGACTATATATGAAAACTTAACTGTTAAAAATTGTGTCCTCACAGCATCTCCAAGGTGCCCTTCACATCTCAGTGCATTAATTTTTTTAGCTTCAGTGCATTAATTTTTTAATTTATTGATTGATGAAAAGGGCTAAGTGAGCAATATAGACAGTAAATGTGTGAGTTCAGAAAAGAGAAAGGACTTATGGGAAGGTTTCATGGAGGCCATGGAACTTGAGCTGGGCCTTGTCCAAAAAATTTTATTTTTTTCTTTTAATTTAAGTTTTGCCTTGATTTGAAAATCTCAGAGAAGAATTAGGAAAAAAAACATAATCTGACTTCCCACAGAGAATCATTATTAATATTAATTGATTTTTTTTGTATATGTTGGGGAGGTAGGGAACAGGATAGGACAGATTGAAGGAAAATAAAACTTTTCTGAATATACTTTATATAGCTTGACTTTTGAAAACATAAGTAACTAATATAGCCAAAAATTAAAACAAAAAAAGTCCAGAATATTGAAAACAAACAGAAATGCACGAACCTAACTTTATCACAAGTTGATAAAATAAACACACAGGAAACAGTGGCATTAGAACATAGTATTTTGTCTGTATGGTTCATATTAGTTTCTTGGGGCTGTCATAATAATGTACTATAAACTTGGTGCCTTAAAACAATAGAAATTTATTGTCTCACAGTTTTAGAGGCTAGAAGTCAGAAATTGAGGTATTGACAGGGTTTGTTCCTACTGGAGGTTCTGAGGTAGAATCTGTTCCATGGCTTTCTCTTAGATTCTGGAGTTGCTGGCCGTCCTTGGCATTCCTTGGCTTGTGGCACCATAGCTCATGTCTGCCTCTGCCTTCATATGGCATTCTCTCTGTGTGTCTTCACATCATCTTCCCTCTGTGCATATCTGTTTCTGTGTATCTCTTCCTCTTCTTATGAGGATATCAGTCATATTGAATTAGGGCCTACCCTACTCCAGTATGGCTTCATCATACTGTAACAATCATATTTTCAAGTAAGGTCTCATTCACAGGTACCAAAGATTAAGACTTCAACATGTCTTTTTGGAGACATAGTTCAACCCATAACATAATCTTAGTGAAGTATGTTTGTGATAGTTAATTTTATCTGTTACATAGACTGGGCCACAATGCCCAGATGTTTGTTCAAACATTCTGAATGTTTATGTGTGGGGTATTTTTGGGAGGAGATTAGCATTTAAATTGGTAGACTTTGAGTAAAGCCGATGGCCCTCCATCCCATCAGTTGAAGACCTTAATAGAACAAAGATTGGCCTTTCCTGGACAAGAAGGAATTCTGCCAGTAGACAGTGCTCAGACTTATACAACAATCTCTCCAGCCTGTCAGCCAACCCTACAGATTTTGGACTTGCCAGACTTCGTAATCATATGAGCCAATTTCTTAAAATCAATCTCTCTCAGTCTCTGCCTCTCTCTCATTGTTTTCATATTTCCATATATATGATGGGAGGCCAGGGAGACAGTGGCCGTTGCTGCTATAACCTACTACAATTAAACACTCTATGCTCCTGATGTGATGCAATAGGAAGCACACAGGCCAACCTCTGAAGTCCTTTTGCCAAAGTTACTGAGCCTGAATTGAATCAAGTTCTAGAGTTAACTTCCATTTTTCGGGAAATACAGGGATGGAAAAACAAGTAAAATGACACCACAGGGCAGCAAATAGACTAGTAGCCATTTTGTAGCTCACCGAAATGCCCAGAACTGTGCCCTTCCTGCACATGGTGAGATAGACTTTCTGGCCTTCTTTGTTTGGGTAGGGCCATGTGACCAACTGTGGGCAATGGGATGAGGGGAAAGTGGTAGCTAGGCCTGCATGAGGTCCTTCAAAGCTCTTTTCTTTCTCTGTCACGATGACCAGCAATGATGTTCTGCACAGTAACTACTTCACCAGTCTAGGTCTGGAAGTGAGCCTGACGATAGCAGGGAGCAGAACTCTAAATGTGAGATGGACATACAGAAAAAAAAACGAAGCTTCATTGTTTTAAGCCAATGAAATTTGGACTATGACATGGCTTATCCCAACTGATTCACAGACAAATCTAGAATATAGCTTATCCTACAGAACAAGTGACCTGGTTTCTTCAACAAGTCAGTGGCATGAAAAATGGTAATTAATCAAGGAAGGTGTCCACTCTAGATTCAGAAAGACATCAAGAGCCCCAATAGCCACATGCCATGTGGGGATGTTATTTGGATGCTGATTTGACAAAACAACTGAAAATCAGACATTTTAAAGATTTGGGGAAATATGCTTATGGATTGATTACTGTTCATTTTGCTAGCTGTGTTACTGACATTAAGCTTAGGTAAGAAAATGCTTGTATTTTTCAGAGATGCATATCAAAGTATATAGGGGTAAAATGCCCTGATATCTGGGATTTGCTTTAAAACATTTAAGCGGGTTTTTTAAGGGAAAAGGTGTTAGTTGAAACAAATATGGCAATAAATGATTAGATCTGGGTGGTGGATATATGGAACTTTACTGCACCCACCTCTCTGTGTATGCTTGACAGTCTTTATAATAGAAAAATAAAAATCAGTACTGCTACTGAGGGTATCTTTGTGCAAAAATCTTTGCCTGCCCCTCAAATGATTTCCTTAGAGGAGATTCCCGGAAGGGAATTGGTCAAAGTTAGGAACAGTTTTAAGATTCTTAATACTTCCTGATAAACCACTTACCAAGATTTGTTGCACAAATTTACTCTTAGAAAGATAGGTTTTAGATACATGGAGGAGAGTAAGGTATTTCAAGAGCAATGTTGGTGTGATCGAAGATGTGAAGAGGAGTACTCTGTCATCAAACACATTTGCAGAGTGATGAATATTTAAGTCTGACTAGGGCAAAGAATAAGACTAAAACCATACATTACAGTCAGATCATAGAGAGCTTTTAATGCTTTCAAATATTTTCCCTTAACACTGGAGCCATTTAAGGCTTTTGAGAAGGAAGGTGACTTAGAGCAATTGTGTTCATGTTCAATAAAATGAAATGCTAAGGATTTTCTTTTGGCCAACTTCCTAAACTGAAATGTCAATGATTCTTTGTGTAAGAAACAGTGTTAAGGCTCGCAGATTGCTGGAAGGGATCTCCAGGGGTTGTCTGATTGATCTCTTTGGCACAGGCCTAGTAAATTATCTCTAAGCCTTTTTTTCTCTGTGTCTGTCTTCTGTGGATGCAGAGAACAAGTTATCAGTGTAGTGCTTGTAATACCACTTTATGCTACTTAAAAACAGCAGTCTTTAACCTTCGCTTTCCTGGACTTTAAAAATTCATTTCACCTTATAAAAACCTCTCCAAATTTCAAGCAATAGGTATAATAATATGTGGCTTTATCTTTTTTCTTTTTTCTTCACTGCTGAACCCATCATCTTTTTAAAGTCTCATTTGTTCCCAGTTGGCTTCCTTGATCCCCCTTCATCCCTCATTTGGATTTATCTCCACCTACCCACTGACTCCTGACTCCCATTGTGCTGTGTGTGCTCTGGGATTGAGACCTTTGAGTTTGCCTCCTCTGCCTGGAGGGCTCTTTCCTTACGTATCTGTACAGCTAGCTTCCTCATGTACTTCAGATCCTTACGCCAAATCTCAGTGAGGCCTTCCCTGGCCTCAGGTATCCAAAATTACAGTGTCTCTTCACCCTGGCCATTCCCCACCCACATACAACATTGCAACATAAACACATTCAGTCTTCCTTCCCCACATTGTTTTTCTCCTTTGTTCTGGAACTAGCCACCCTGGGTCCTGTGCTTCAGGGCTTCTGGCATCTTACTTCTCTTTTCACACTACCGCTAAAATTCAGCTGAGATTTTTTTCCCTTTAATCATATCCCAAGCATGCTGTGAAAGATGAGGGCAGTGCAGTCTCCTTTCAAGTGTGAATATCTTGGGTAGGGGCTCAATTGACTGAATCACCCTCAGCTCCCACAACCTTTTAGGGATGGCCCTGCTTATTACTAACACATATTTTTTTCTTCTTTATCATATATATTGTGTTTATTGTCTCTTTCCCTCACTAGAATGTAAATTCCACAAGGGCAGGGAACATTTGTTTCTTTTGCTTCTGACTGTATCCTCAGGCCTGAGAACAGTGTCTGGCACATAGTAGATTTTCAATTAAAATGTGTTGACTGAATAAATGAACATTGTTCATTTACTTGCATTGTTCTCTATCTCTTTACACTATAACATCCTTGAGGAGTTTTTAATAAAGCTAGCTAATAAAATATACATTTTTGGATCACTTACTGTGGGCCAGTGCCTACCACAGTGCCTTGTATCAGATTTTTACTTTTTTGGTTTCTTTTTTTATTTTTTTAAAGATTTTGAGAGAGAGCACAAGTGGGAGGGGTAAGGGCAGAGGGAGTGGGAGAAGCAGGGAGCCCGACAGGACCCCGAGATCATGACCTGAGCTGAAGGCAGATGCTTAACCAACTGAGCCACTCAGGCACCCCAAGTTTTTGCTTTTTTAAAAAGTAAAAATCTAATGACATTTTAACCCTGTACTGAAACAGGGCAAAGAAATATTACACAAATGAAAATTCTTGTGTCTCTCACTCATTTATACAGACTTTTTAAAAAGCATTGCTGTTATGAGCCCTGTCTCAGGAATGCCCCTCCATGGAGGACATCCTTTGGGGGCTTCACTTTTAGATGATGTCCCAACAGCCCTTTGTAGCTGATAGCAAACCTTCTAAAAAATAACATGTGGCAGTATGCAAAGTTAAACACGCACATAGCTTTTGACACAAATTCCATTTCTAGGATTATATTCTAATGAAATAATCAGATAAATGACAAATGAGCAAAGATTGATAGCAATGCTTCTTACAGGACAGGAAACTGGAAACGACTATGCATCCATACATTAGAAAGCATATATACAGACATCAAATATCATACTTTATAAAGGGATATAAATCATATATAAATATAGGATGGATACTTCTGGTTAAAGATGGTGGAGTACAGGGCGCCTGGGTGGCTCAGATGGTTAAGCGTCTGCCTTCGGCTCAGATCATGATCCCAGGGTCCTGGGATCGAGCCCCACATAGGGCTCCTGGCTCAGCGAGGAGCCTGCTTCTTCCTCTCCCTCTGCCTCTCTCCCTGCTCATGCTTTCTCTCTCTCTCTCTCTCTCTCTCTGTATCTCTGTGTCTCAAATGAATAAATAAAAAAAAAATTAAAAAAAAAAAAGATGGTGGAGTAAAGGGATTTTTGCTCCACCCCCTTTCTCAAAACTCATTATTCACAACAAAAGAATTATAAAAAGAAAGAAAAAAGAATTCCATCTTCATGGAAGTAGTTACAAGCTCTAACTGGAAAGGATTTTCACTAAGTCCTGTGACAACAGGATCTTGGTGGAAAGGAAGCTGAGAACTGCTATGCTGTCCCCGAACTAGAGGTTTTCTTGAACGTGTCAGACACGAAAGGCTGCTTCAACAATCTCTTATTAGACTGAAGCCCTCTCAGCCTGCAGGTGGCTTCAGAGGACAGGGAATGTCCCCAGAGGGCTGAGGTTACCAACTCAGAATGGCAGGGGAGAGACAGGCAAGATACACCAGAGGAGACTGCTGCAGGAAGCGTGGTGAAGGAGGGTGCCTTAGAAACAGCTCAGGCTGCTGTAAAAAAATAACACAGGCTAGGGCGCCTGAACAGCAGACATTTATTTTCTCACAGTTCTGGAGACTGAAAGGCCAAGATCAGGGTGCCAGTGTAGTTGGTCGGGTGAGACCTCTCTTCCTGGTTTGGAGATGAGCACCATCTCCCTATGTGCTCACATGACCTCTTCTTTGTACAGAGCAGGAGAGAGAACTCTCTGGGGGGGTCTCTCTCTTTTTTTTTTTAGTATTTTATTTATTTGAAAGAGAGAGTGCCAGCGGGGGTGGGGAGCAGAGGGAGAAGGACAAGCAGACTTCCCACCGAACAGGGAGCCTGACCCAAGGCTCGATCCCAGGACCCCAAGATCATGACCTGAGCTGAAGTCAGGCACTTAATTGAGCGACCCAGGTGCCCCTCTCTGGTGTCTTGTCTTTCTTTTTTCTTTTTCTTTTTCTTTTTCTTTTTTTAAGATTTTATTTATTTATTTGACAGAGGGAGCACGAGCAAGCGCACAAGCGGGGGGAAAGGGGCAGAGAGGGAGAAGCAGGCTCCCCACTGAGCAGAGAGCCCAACATAGGGTTCAATCCCAGCACCCTGGGATCACCACCAGAGCCGAAGTCAGACAATTAACTGACTGAGCCACTTTAAGTAAAGTGTCTTTACTTAAAAGGACACTGATCCTCTAGTATCAGTGCCCTAGCCTGACCTCATCTAATCTTTTTTTTAAAGATTTTATTTATTTATTTGACAGAGAGAGACACAGCGAGAGAGGGAACACAGCAGGAGGAGCGGGGGAGGGAGAAGCAGGCTTCCCGCTGAGCAGGGACCCGATGCAGGGCTCGATCCCAGGACCCCGGGATCATGACCTGAGCCGAAGGCAGACGCCTAACAACTGAGCCCTCTAGGTGCCCCTGACCTCATCTAACCTTAATTACCACCTCCAAGCCCTGTCTCCAAACACAGTCACATTGGGGGTTAGAGCTACAATATATGAATTCAGTGCATAACAGGTGGTGAGAAGGCAGTTGAAACAGAGTGTGACTGAAGGGGATTTCTAGGAGCCCCATTGCAAAGGAGGTAATAAACTTAATAAGAGGGTATTTAAGACAGCTAATCTAAATGAAAGTTGCAGATTGCCCCAGCTTACTCCTCCTCATCCTTCTACACTCTGTTCTAGCAAAAAATAAGCCCCATTAAAGAGTGATCAGAAAAGACCCAGAAGGGGACTGCGTTAGGTCATTTTCTCTAGAAACAGCCTGAAACAGGGACTCCTGTAGGAGTGATTTATTGAGTGAGTGCTCTCAGGAAGCAGGATAAGGCAAGGGGAGAAAGTTAATCAAAGAGAGGCTTCAGGGGCGCCTGGGTGGCTCAGGCAGTTGAGCGTCCAACTCTTGGTTTCCTTCAGGTTGTGATCTCAGGGTCGTGGGATGGAGCCCCTCGTTGGGCTCCACGCTCGGCAGGAAGTCCGCTTGAAGATTCTCTCCCTCTGCCCCCCTCCTGAAAATAAATTAATAAATCTTAAAAAAAAAAAAAAGCTAATGGGGGCACCTGGGTGGCTCAGTCGTTAAGCGTCTGCCTTTGGCTCAGGTCATGATCCCAGGGTCCTGGGATCGAGCCCCGCATCGGGCTCCCTGCTCAGCTGGGAGTCAGCTTCTTCCTCTCCCTCTCCCCCTGCTTGTGTTCCCTCTTTCGCTGTGTCTCTCTCTGTCAAAAAAAAAAAAAAAAAAAAAAAAAAAGCTATGGCTTCAGCTGAAGCCCCAGCCTGATCCCATAAGGAGCTCTGGATCATGAATGGCACCTGAGAGGTCTACTCCCACCTTGAGGCAAGGGACCAGGACTTTGTATGACAAATGCATCAATCATGGGTCACCTTCAGGGGAACACAACCTCTCAGGGATTTCTGGGTAGCATAGCTCCTGTTGGGGGAACTTCTCAGGAAAAGGGGCATCTGTGAGCCATTAACAGCCAACATTCACAGCAGCTGGCTGATGGGTGTGTTGGCTTGGTGAGAGGGATCGGGGTGGATCACCGACAACATCCATTCTCGCCGCACTCCCCAGAGTGTGGTCCCTGAAACAGCGAGGCAGCCTCTTACCTGAGAACTTGTTAGAAATGCAGATTTCCTATCCCAACTGCAGATCTGTTGAATCAGAAATGCTGGGGTTGGGACCCATGAATTTGTACCTTAACAAGCCCTCCAGGTGATTTTGATGCATGCCGAAGTTTGAGAACTGCCATACTATAGGGAGCTGTAACTAGCCACTAAAAGAAATGGAAGGGAAAAAACAGAAAAATAAGGCGGATGCACAACAGATGTTGCAAGAGAAATGAAAGAACACAAGAATTGAGACTAAAAAATAGTTATCTTTTAAAAAGACAAAAAGAGCTAAAGAAGAGATACAAGGATTTAAAGAAAAAATTATAAGGCACAGAAGATGAACAGCAAACTGCCAGCGCTAAGAAAAGAAACAGAGGTAAAGCCACGTAAGAAGCAAAGGGATAATGACGGTAATTGTAGCAGTCAGCATTCAACCAGGAAAACTGCATTCGCTCCAGATCTATATTTAAAGCAGAGAGGGAACAAAGGCAGGGAATTTGTTACAAAATGTTGAAGAGGCAGGCTAGGAAAACAAATAGGAGGTGGGGATGTAACCCAGAGTTGCACCCCTGAGCCACATGGCTGTTGTTGGCCAGTGTTGGCCACTGTTGACCAGGGGAGGCACCACCACGGTTGAACAGAAGCTGCCCACCACTGTGGCTGGTGACAACCACACAGCCACAGGACCCAGTCCCTGCAATCTCTCCAGCCAGAAGCGGAAAAATGGCTTCTCCCTTCCACCCACCTTCTAAGCTCCCACCCTCATATTGGGCTCCCCGCTCAGCAGGGAGTCTGCTTCTCCTTCTCCCTCTGCCCCTAACCCTACTAGTGTTCTCTCTCTCTCAAATAAATAAATAAATAAATAAATAAATAAATAAATAAAATCTTCTAAAAAAAAATTTTTTTTAAATAGTTATAGAGACGGTAACAGCTATGGAAGAACAGGGGATACAATATACCTGTAATTCTACTTCCTGAGGGAGAGAGTAGGACAAAATACAATAGAAAAGATGTTCAGGGCAACTGAAGAGAATGTCCCTGAAGTTTAAAAAAAAAAGAAGAAGAAGAATTAAATCTTAGGACCAGAAGAGGATATTGTATTTGCCTTAGTTGTTTAGGCCACTATAACAAGAATGCCATAGACTGGGTGGCTTATAGACAACAGAAATTTATTTCTTAGGGTTCTGGAGCCTGAAAGTCTGAGATCAGGGTGTCAGCAAGGTTGGGTGAGGGCCATCTTCTGGGGTTGCAGACTGCTTGTATCCTCCCCCAGTGGAAGGGGGCAATCTAGCTCTCTGGGGCCTCTTTTATAACAGCACTAATCTCATTCCTAATGGGTTCGCTGCCGACGGGTGATCCATTCAGCGTTCCTCCGAGTCCTACCCTAATACTATCACACTGAACTTTAGGATTCAGCATATGAATCTGAGGGGGACACAAATCTTCAGACTATAGCAGTACCACAGGAAATTTTGATATTAAAACAATCAACACTGGAACTAGGTCTTGGTGAAGTTACTGAATCTCAAGTATAAAGAAAGAATCTGACAGGTCTCCAGGCCGAACAAAAGCAATTCAAGTGCTGGGAGAAATCACTCAGGCTGGCCTCAGACTCCTCCTCTCACGACTGCTAGACAACAATGGAGCAATGTCTGCGAATCTCTGAGGTAAAGAGGCTGAAACACAAGGGTCTGAATCCCAGCCAGGGATCCTGCGGGCTCCAGACAACAGACTTGGCAGGTGCAAGCATGTCAGACGTCAGGGAGTACAGCATCCATGTGCCCTTCTGGGTTTTTTTTTAAGATTTACTTATGAGAGAGAGAGAGCAGGAGGGACAAGGGGAAGGGAGAGGAAGAGAGAGAATCTCAAGCAGACTCCCCACTGAGCGCAGAGCCCAATGTGGGGCTCGAACTCAAGACCCTGAGATCACGTCCTGAGCCGAAACCAAGAGTCGGATTCTTAACCTACTGCACCACCCAGGCACTCCCATGTCCTCTTGAAAAAACTACTTGAGACTTTCAGTGATGTCATCTATATGGCAGAATAGGTATCCTGAATCCTTCTTCAGTTGACACCTAAGCATGCTGCAGAAAACATGTTAACACACCTGCAGAACTTCATGGCTGGGCTTACCCGAAATGAAATCGCCTGTGGCCAGTTTAGCAGAATGAGAGTCCAAACCTTCTGAGTGCCCTGCACAGTTCTTTTCCACCTCTGCCATGCGAGTTTCCCCACAAATGTCCTTTTCCCTTCCTGTGCTCTCCAGGTTCCCATCGCAGACTATGGAAGGCCTGGGCCTCCTCGAAGCCCCAGCCCAAATGCCACCAGCTCCGCCAGGCTTTCCCAGACCTACCCAGCCCTGCAGGATTGCCCTCCCCTCTGTCCTCCCTGAGCAGTGAGTCTTTATCTCAGCTCTCCCCCATCATACTCGCTTTGAATTATGGTCATTGCCATGGATCCCTCGTCCCCCTGTGAGGTTAAGCGGGACCTTGTCCATCTGTGCATTACTCAGCACCCAGTAAAGAATCAGTGCTCGATGAATGTCTGAAGCATTAAACTGAAGAGAATTGACTTGGAAGGCTTGGGGTCTATTTTGACATTCTGAAAACTCCTCCCCAGTTCTAGCTACTATTGTTCACTGAAAACCAGGACTTTCTGTGCATTTATAGGCATGAATCGGGGGGACCATCTGAGGAGTGATTCAGAGGAGCATGGGCTTATCCGCTGTCTCCTTTTATGGAATTGGGGCTTAGGAAGGACAGGGCTCAGCTGGGCTTCAGCCCCACTGTTTGCCCAGCTCCTCACTCTCAGTGTACCCACACAAACCCACGCCTGCGTTGCTTGGCAGGATGAAGAATTTTTATTCAGTGTCCCTACTGTCCTGCCTTCCCTCCATCTCCCACTCCCTGAAAAGGGGG